CAGATGCTACTTACAATACTACAATTTGCATAAGGTACTCTACTAAACTGGCAATACAATTACTTATTTAACTTACGATACTAATTGTCACACTACTCACAATATAACACGACTACTGATGCTACTTACCGTATATGAACAAGTTTAGCCTTCTAGATATATAACAGGTGCGAAGGAGCATACCTTTTTTTAGCATAGTAAACGAAACTTTTATTTTTGAGCCGGATCTTTAAAAATAGAGGATTTGATACACTTTAGCATCGTCACTGTAGCTTTGTCATCGCTCGACAAATTCAAGTTTACAGAAAATATCCTGAGGGATAACAATAAAAAAAATAAGTTGCATTTTACTTGTAGTTATACCCAATGTTCAGTTCAAATTTGCCTGTTAAGTAAATAATATTGCCTGACCTCTTCGCTATTGTTTATATCTCGGCACGAGGACATATAGTCCCAGCTGGAGAACCAGGTTTCTGAAGATATAAAATTCCTCTTCACTCAATTGAGCGACATTTCCTTAGTAACCTTGTTTTGGTAAGATCGTCAACCAGTCTGAAAGGACGTTTTCAAATTAGGGTTTTGGCTAAAGAATTGGCTACTGTAGGGGTTACCAGACAGCTGTTATAATCGTGTCCCATTGAGATACACGTATGTGTACGTTGCACCCACAATGACAAGGTCAGGGTTGTTGCACATGGCAAGAAGAAGAAGAGAAAAGAAGAAGAAGAAGTAAGAGAAGAAGAAGAAGAAGAAGAAGAAGAAGAAGAAGAAGAAGAAGAAGGAGAAGCAGAAGAAGAAGATGAATAAGAAGAGGAAGAAGGAGATAACAACGATCACCACAACGGCGGTAACAAAAAAGGCAGCAACAACCACAGAAAGCAATTCAGCGACAACCTTTATTTGTTTCAAATTCAAATTCAGCACTCATTGCCAGTAGAATGCGAATCGCGTCTAGAGGAACGAGATAGCCGTTAAAAAAGAAAACAAAAACCGTCCGGAGTGTCCTAAGAGGAACTAGCCTGCGAACACGTATTTCCAGCTGTCACTTGTCTCTTATTTTCGGTGGAGGTTTGCGTTTTCCACTCGTAGAAG